ACTACACCACCACCACCACGAACAATGCCACCACCACCACAACCCACCACAACCCACCACAACCACCACGACCACCACCACCACCACAAACCACCACCACGCACCACAACCCACCAGCACCACCATCAGCAGCACCACCACCACCAACATCGCAGCCCACCACCACCACCACCACCACCACAACCCACCACTACCACCACCACCACAAACCACCACGCAACCACCAGCACAACAGCCACCACCACCACTCCACCACAACAACCCAGCACCACCACCACACCCACAACAACCCGGCGCCACTACCATCACCACCACAATCTAACACACCACCACCACCGCCACAACCACCACAATCACCACCTCACGACCAGAACAACCCACCACCACCACCACCACCGCAAACCACCACACCACCACCACCACCACCGCCGCCACCACCACCACCAACACCACCTCCACAACCCACCACCACCACCGCCAACACCACCACCATCACACAAACCACCACACCACAACCACCACAACCACCGCCACCACCACCACCACAACCCACCAACACCACCACCACAAACCACCACACTACCACCACCACCGCCACCACCACCACCACAACCAGCACAACCCACCACCACCATCACCATCACCACAAACCGCTACACCACCACCACCACCACCACCACCACCACCACCACCAGAACCACCACCACCACCATCAAAAACGCCACCACCATCACAACCCACCACCGCCACCACAACCACAACAACCACCACTACCACCACAAACCACCACGCCTCTACCACCACCACCACCACCATCACCACCACCACCACCGCCAGCACCAGCACCAGCACCAGCACCAGCACCAGCACCAGCACCAGCACCCGCACCCGCACCGGCACCCGCACCAGCACCCGCACCCGCACCCGCACCAGCACCCGCACCCGCACCAGCACCAGCACCAGCACCAGCACCAGCACCAGCACCAGCACCAGCACCAGCACCAGCACCAACACCCAGCACCCAGGACCCAGCACCCACCACTCACCACACCACAACAGCCCACCACCACCACCATCACCACCACCACCACCTCTGAGAGGCCCTTAGAGACGTCCAAGAGGCGCCCAGGAGGCTTCACAAATGCCATTCAGAGGTCCCCGAGAGCCCTCCGACGAGACCCCAAGAGGCATCCATTAGGACTCTGACCCAAAACCACAGTACGGTGGCGGAGCGTCGCCGTCGTCGTCGTCGTCGTCGTCGTCGTCGTCGTCGTCGTCGTCATCGTTGTCGCCGTCGTCCGTCCTTGTCGACGCTCCCCGCCGCCGCCACCAGCCGCCGCCGCCAGCCGCCGCAAGCGCCGGCGCCGGCCAAGAAAGGGAAGTCGTCGTCTTCATCGACGCTCCCCGCCGCCGCCGCCAGCCGCCGCCGACGCCAGCGCCGGCCCGAGGAGAGGGGGGGGGCTTGAACCTCCCCTCTCCGTCACGAGAGAGGGGGGGGGGGCGGGCGGGTTTGTTCGAACCCCCCCACCCCCTTCAATGCAACGTGGGGGGGGGGTCCGGACTCAAATCCCCCCCCCCCTCCAAGCGCCCACAGACCGGCTCTTACATATATATATATATATATGTATGTATATATATATATTATATATATATATAGGTCTGCACGTACGTACGGGCCCCAGGGGGCCCCAGGGGCCCCGAATATATCCATATCCGCCGCCTGCCGAAGTCCCCAAATATCGATCCCCCAAGCGGTGGTTACGGAGAATCCCACCATCCCTCTGGGCGTAGGTGGTTTAGAGAGTTTCCTCTTCCACCCCTCCTTCTTCCACTTCGGGAGGGGTTTACCCCTCCCCCTACCCCCTCCCCTGGACCTGGACGAACATGCTCGCCGCCCCGCGAATCGGGGCGACCGTGCGCACAACACTTTGAGAGAATGTCATTCCTTAGAGAGGCATTTCCCGGTGGAGGTCCGCAAGGAGTCGGAACTGATCAGAGTTTGAATCCGCGTGGTTGTGATGCCGCGTTCTGCTTGCTGAGAGTAGCTCTCACCCCAAAGTTCCACTGCAAGGGCCTTAACGCTTCGTGCGAGTTAGAGGTGCCAATGCCCACGAATTCGTAAGGGGTGCGCGGTTTCGCCATCGCAATCGAAATACGCTCTTGGGGCACCCCGCATCCCCTGCTTGCGGGCCTTCCAGGAGATCAAATCGGATCTAGTCGGTCACGCCGTAACTGGCCAACATAAAATCGTGATGCAACCCGCAAGGTGTAATCCATGACAATAGAATTGGAGTGCTGCAGTAGTATTGGGGAGGGCAATGCTGTCCAGGGAGAAAGCGTGTTGCTCGACTTCTGCGTGCAAAGCGACCGTTGTACTACAAAACAATACAATTATCTGGTGGCATACATTTGCAATACCCGCTGCAATTCATTCCAATGCGTCGTCTGCGCGCATTGCATCTGCATTCCACGCGCAACGCCTTACAACACACTTCATGCCAACCGCGCCGACTCTTGACGCGACGAGTGTCGCAAATGAGCCGCCGAAGTCTTCGAAACCTTCGGCCGCCTGTCTGCCGTTTGCGTCATCTCTCTGCATGTCCCGAGGCCGCCTGCAAGCGTGCGTTGCGACGGGCGGCGGAAGGGTGCAATCGCTTCTGCACGGGGCGGCGCGGGGCATTTTGCCAGCGCATCCTTTTACTTGGACTCCTTTGGGGGCCGCCCCGGGAAACTGAAAGTCATGGCGCCCACTCCGGCCCCGCGCTGGGCACGAAAAGAACTATCGCCTCCATGACCGAACACGTCGAGGTGCATCAACCGGAGGAAGACGCTGCGCGCTTGCCCCTTCTCGGCCTCCAAGGAGGGCCTCCACAGGCCCTCCCCCCGAAGAAGGCCTCCTCGGGGCGCTCTTGGGGCTCGCTTGTCCCTGGGCCCCGTGCTGGGTATTTTTTGGGGCGCGTGGCGGAGTATAGCCTGGCAGCCTCGGGGTCCTCTGGGGCAGCCTTGTGGCCTGGCCATTCTAAAAGCCATCCTGGGAACATCTGGGCCTCTCTTCTTGAAGCAATCTCCAGCCGACAAAGTGTGCATTGAGGTCGGGCATTCCCCCCTACAGGCGGATTTTGGACGAAAGATGTTTTAAAAACATACCCTAAACTATGCCAGACGTGCTCAACAATTATCCCAGTGCGACCCTATCTAGGAGTTGGAGCCTCGAGTAGTAGTAGTAGTAGTAGTAGTAGTAGTAGTCGTCGTCGTAGTCGTAGTCGTACTCGTAGTCGTAGTAGTAGTAGTAGTAGTAGTAGTAGTAGTAGTAGTAGTAGTAGTAGTAGTAGTAGTAGTAGTAGTAGTGGTGGTAATAGTAGTAGTAGTAGTAGTAGTAGTAGTAGTAGTAGTAGTAGTAGTAGTCGTAGTCGTAGTCGTAGTCGTAGTCGTTGTAGTGGTCGTAGTAGTAGTAGTAGTAGTAGTAGTAGTAGTAGTAGTCGTAGTAGTAGTAGTCGTAGTAGTAGTAGTAGTAGTAGTAGTCGTAGTAGTAGTAGTAGTAGTAGTAGTAGTAGTAGTAGTAGTAGTAGTAGTAGTAGTAGTAGTAGTAGTAGTAGTAGTAGTAGTAGTAGTAGTAGTAGTAGTAGTAGTAGTAGTAGTAGTAGTAGTAGTAGTAGTAGTAGTATAGTAGTAGTAGTAGTAGTAGTAGTAGTAGTAGTAGTAGTAGTAGTATAGTCGTAGTCGTAGTAGTCGTAGTAGTAGTAGTCGTAGTAGTCGTAGTAGTAGTAGTAGTAGTAGTAGTAGTAGTAGTAGTAGTAGTAGTAGTAGTAGTAGTAGTAGTAGTAGTAGTAGTAGTAGTAGTAGTAGTAGTAGTAGTAGTAGTAGTAGTAGTAGTAGTAGTAGTAGTAGTAGTAGTAGTAGTAGTAGTAGTAGTAGTAGTAGTAGTAGTAGTAGTAGTAGTAGTAGTAGTAGTAGTAGTAGTAGTAGTAGCGCCAGAACCGCCGACGCCACGCCGTAAGTGAAGCAGCAGCAGAAGCAGGCAGCAAGTCGCCGAGACAGCAGCAAAAGCAAGCAGGCACGGAGATGAGGGCGGGGCACTGGGGAGTTCTTTACATCTACATCTATATCTACACCTACATCTACATCTAAATCTACATGTCGGGTTTCATGTCTCCCTGCCGGTGCTATGTGCGAAACCTTCGTGAGTCCTAAGGGCTCAAGCTGCCCCACTAAGGGCTCAAGATGGCCCACAGACGGACAACATGCATGGAACATACGTGCGCACACACACATATAAGTACATATATATATATATATATATAGCAGCAGCAATAGGGGATGCTGTGCTGCGCTATGCTATGCTCTGCTCTGCTCTGCTCTGCTCTGCTATGCTGCGCAATGCTATGCTGGGCTAGGCTAGGCTATGCTATGCTGCTGCACTATGCTATGCTGCGCTATGCTATGCTATGCTATGTTATGCTATGCTATGCTATGCTATGCTATGCTTTTGCTTTGCCTTCGCTGTTGCCTTCACTTTTGCCTTTGCTTTTGCTTCTGCTTGGCACCCAGGGAGCGCAACTGGGGGAACCGCGCGTTTGCTTTTACCATTGCTGTTGCTTTTGCTTGGCTCCAAGGGGACCGGAGGAACCGCCGGGGCGCTTTACACTGCCTGGCCCCTTTAAGCTAAGAAAGTAAGAACCTTTCTAGGCAGAGCCTAGGTAGGGAATAATAAAAAAAACGTCTCCAGACTATTGTTTTACAATTTCTGCATATTCCTCCTGTAGAGGGACAGGCCCGACTTAAATGCACATGCGCTCCGCAAAGTCTCATGGATTTCTCGGGGATCTTCTGACCCGGGCCAATCCAGACCCGGGTCGGTCAGGCCTTGCAAAATCCTGCAACATCCTGCAAGATCCTGCACCCAAACCCGGGTCAATGCGCCCCTGGCCCTGCAGGATCCTGCAAGATCTGGCGCCCTCCTCCTCCTCCTCCTCCTCCTCCTCCTTCTCCTACCTGGCTGACCCCCGTCTGCATCGGCCCCCGTCTCGAGGCTCCCGAGATTTCGGCGACGTGCGCGTTCCCGGGGGGGGTCCCGCGCAGAGCCGTCTCGGTGCCTCGTGGGGGCGCCCGGGCGCCTGTCGGGCCGCCTCGAGGGCACGGCTGTCGCCTTGGGGGCACGACTGGCCGTCTTGGGTTTTGGTCGGGCATCCCCCCCTGCAGGCGGACCCTGGAGGAAACATCGAGCATACTCAACAGACGCCCCCCGAATACTCAAAACATAGCCGGCACATCGTCCCCCGGTGCTTTTGGTAGCGCTTCTGACTCTATTCCTCCTGTAGAGAGGGGCATGCCCGACGTAGCCTTGGGTCTCCCGAAGCCCCCCGGCCGCCGGCCCGCCGGCCTCTTTTTCGACCGGGATCGTCACACCTGGCAGCAGCGCGCGCGGCTGGCACCGCCATCTTTCCAGCGAAAGACCAGCTCAATCATCCATGCTGCCCGCCACCGTGCCCCCCTGGCACGCTGAGGCGTGGTAGAGTGCCAGGTGCTCCCTGGCCGGAGGTCGAGTGGTCAGCTCGAAGAGCCCCCCACAAGGACATCGGCTTCGGTTCTGGCTTCGTACTTCGCGTGCGGGCGAGGCGAAGCTGCGTGAGCGGGCCAGAGGAAAGACTCCGCTGTGGCTCGGGCGGCTCGAAACACCGTTGACCGCCCTTCCCGGCGGGCGGGTGGTGGCTGGGTTGTCCCGCCGTGGTGTCCCGTCGCTGTCCGCCTCCCCCGCGGTGGGCGGGCGGTGGCTGGATCGTCCCGCCGTGGTGTCCCATCTGTGTCCCGTCCGTGTCCTGTCGATGTCCCGTTGGTGTTCCGTGGCTGTCCCGTCGCTGTCCCGTCGCTGTCTCGTCGATGTCCCGTCGGTGTCCCGTCGTCGGTGTCCCGTCGGTGTCCCATCGGTGTCCCGTCGGTGTCCCGTTGGCGTTCCGTCAATGTCCCGTTGGTGTCCTGTGGTGAGATCGACCGTGAGATCGAAGGTGGGGCTGATCGTGGGATCGATAGTAAGGCCGGGCGAGTGAGATCGACAGTAAGATCGATGGTGAGGTCTACAGTGGGATCGAACATGAGAACGATTGGTGCCCCGATGGCGTCCAGCGGGCGTCCCAACGGTGTCCCGTGGGTGTGCTGCGGTGTCCTGCGGCGAATTCGATGGTGAGATCGATCGTGGGATCGATAGCGAGATCCGTAGTGAGATCGGTAGTGAGAACAATATTGAGATCGAATGTTGTTCCGTGGTGTCCCGTCGGTGTCCCGTTGGTATCCCGCGGGTGTCCCGTCGGTGACTCTTCGGTGTCCCGTCGGAGTCCAGTCGGTGTCCCGTGGTGAGATCGACAGTGAAACCGATTGAGACCGATAGTGAGATCAATAGTGAGATCGATAGTGAGACCTGGAGTGAGATCAGAAGTAAGATCGATCGAGTGAGAGCGATGGTGGGATCGATCGAGTGAGACCGATAGCGAGATCGATAATGAGATCGATAATGATATCAATAGAGAGTTCGATGGTGACCTGATTGTGTCCTGATTGGTGCTCCGATTGGTGTCCCAATTGGTGTCCAGATTGGTGTCCTGTTAGTGTCCTGGTAGTGCTTCGATGGTGTCTCGGTGGTGTCCAGGTGGTGTCTCGATAGGTGCTCCGAGTGGCGGTTCTGACGGGGTGTCTCGAAAAGCCCTCTCGATTAGTGTCGCGATGGGTGTCCTGATGGTGTCCTGGTGGTGTTTCGATGGTGCCTCGATGGTGAGACTCCGGGTAACCCTCTGGCCATCGTCATCATCGCCGCCATCGCAGTTGTCGTCAGCTGGTTCTTCCTCCTCCCCACCAACCTCCTCATCACCCGAAGGGTGGTCGTATAGGCAGGGTTTCGGTATTCTAACAAGCGACCCCCACTCCTGCTCCTGCTCTTCTTCCTCCTCCTCCTCCGGCGCCGCCCCTGGCGCGCTCCGCACGCCAGGGAGGGGGGCCCAGCGAGGATCCAAGAAATCCGCGCGGAACGCCAAAAGTTTATGTTTGCGGCGTTTTTCCTCTCCGAGTCAGGACCCGCTTCCCCAATTCGGGGGCGACCAACAGGAGGGCGTCCAAGAGGGGGGGTGCAAATCGTGTCCGGCGGCGTGCGCGCGGCCCAAGGGGGGGCCAGGGACGTGAGGAGGCGCCATGAAATCTGGGGAGATCTCATGGCCCCCGCCATGATCTCCACCCCCCCTCGTCATCTCCCCCCCCCGTGGCCGCCCCCGACCCATGGCGAATGGCCGCGCCGCGCGAGCGACGAGAGCAGGACTCCGCTCGAAGCCCGGACTCGGGCCGAGAAGAGCTCCCAGACGAGGGCGGCTGGACCCCTTCTCCGCCAGCACCTCCCGCATTAACGGGGCCCAGCGGCCAGCAGATGGACGCGCCCCAGGACTCCCGCAGTGCTAGTGCTTCCGTACCCTCCGGACGCTCGCCCTCTCCTCCGCTCCCCGGGTTTGGGCCACTCTCCTGGGGGTCGACGCCTGCTCGAGTCTGTGCTTCCCTCCCCCTCCCGACCCTCCTCGACTCCATCCTGCCGCGGCACGCCCCTCCGCGGCAGGATGCCCGCGCGTGTCGGCCCGCGCGACGCCGCGGGCCTCCGGCCTCCGCCTCCCCCCCCCCGTGCTGTCGCCTCTGGCCCGCGCCCGGCGCAGCTGGTCAAGCCGCGGGCTTGTCCATGAAGGGGCCCTGGGACACACAAATAGATACACACAAACAAACAGATTCCCCATATGTCCCCATATTTCCTGGGTTTCCCCCACTTCCCGTATTTCCCCATCTTTTCTTGGGGAATCGACGATTCGTTGTGTCTGTGCGTTTCTTCCCCTCCTGACTCTGGCCCGCGC